TCCCAGCACTTGAGAGGCTGAGGCAGGAGGATCATTGCAAATTTGAGGCCAGCCTGGGCTACAAAGTAAGCTTAAGCCTAGCCTCAACTACACAGCAAGACCCTGTCTCAAAAAGACAAACAACAACAACAATAAAATAACACCAGGAGCTGGGCATGGTGGGGCATGCCTGTAATCCCAGCATGTGAGAGAAGCTGAAACAGGAGGATCACCCAGAGTTGGAGGCCAGCCTAGGCTTTATAGTGAGTTCAAGGCCAGCCTAAACTATAATAGTAAGACCTCATCTCAAAAAATAACAAACCAACCAACCAACCAGTCACTAGGAAAAGGTCACTTACTTACTGATGCTAACACAGAGGATGACCCTTCTCAAATGGTTCACGACACCACATTTTAAAAATTAGTTAATTAATTCATGTTACTGTGGATTGAACTCAGGGTCTTTGCACTAGGTACATCCCCAAGCTTTATAAAATGTTTTGAGACAGTGTCGCACTAAGTTCCTAAATTGTCCAGTCTGGGCTTGAACTTTCCATCCTCCTACTCAGCCTCCCAGAGTGTTGGGAGTTTAGGCATGTGCCATCACACTGGTTCACATCACATTTCAAAGGAGTTTAATGATTACAGATCCTGATTTCTGCACTTACCTGGAGGGAGAAGATAACCAGATCTGCTTGTTTGGGGTCTGCTTGTTGATCACATAGGTTCCTAGGTCTCCACCCAGTTTAACTGTCAAGACACCACTCTAGGAGTTCAGGTGGAAGAGAGCAGGAAGAAAATAAAACCAGTCAAAGTCAGCCCTTTGCCATTAATTGCTTTGTATTCTGTTCTCTCTCTATACTTTTCATGTATACAAATTTGTAGTATGTATCATAAAGAAGTCTTCAAGGGGCTAGAAATATAGCTCAGCGGCAGAGTTGTGTGTTTAGCAGGAGAGGCCTTGGGTTCCATCTCCAGCACCAAAAAGAGAAAGAGTCTTCAATCTAGTATTTAGAAATAGATTATGTAGAAAGAACATTGCTCTCAGGCCAGAATAGGATTCGATCATAAGTACTGACATCTCACAGTGCTTTTCCAACACCCCTGTGAGTTTGGCAAGGCGAGGATGGCTGCCTCATCAGCGGTTTTGGCACTGGCAAATGCCACTGCTGGCTTGTTGGCCCGAGGTACCCACAGAACAAGCTGGAGGAGGATGTCACAAACACAGACGCCAACTCCAGAGTCCCCTGTCAGTGCAGGCATTGCAGGGGACAAGTCCGTCAGGAAGTAAATAAAAAGGAAAGAAGGAAACAATCAGTCCGCCTGTCTTTCTTGTCTTAAAAGGGCAGTGGTGTTAGCTATGTAGGTGGAAGGCAGCAACTCCAGCCTGTTTGTTATTTTCAGATCCTTCCCATGCTTCTGACCATGCCTCAGACCCTCCTCTGAGTCTTCATTTTCCTATAGAGCCTTGAATTCCCCAAAGATTGGTGGGTCCATCTCTAGCCCATCAGTGCCCATTTAAATTTGAAAACACTTTCACAAAGGAGCCTTTCACCCCCCCAGTCCTGCACTCTTCTGAGTGGGCAGGGTAGTGAAGCTCCTCCTGTAGGAATGGGGAGCCAGGAGGGAGCAGGGTGGCCTTTCTCTGTGCCCTGGGCTCTCCTCCAATCTGAGTCCCTAGACGACTCCAGATGCATTTTTCACAAGTACAGAGAGTGGTTTAAATGCTGGAGGCTGTAACGGTGTGGTGGACCACTGAGCTGGCTCCCCCTGAAAGAAGACAGTTTGCCTCCATTGTGACTCACCTTTGCCCTCCTTGCAAGTGCACCGATCTGTACAGAGCTGGCTAGGATAATACTCTACCACCTCAACTGACTTTAAGCAGTGCAAATGAGTCCGGCTGAGGCTCTGGTTTGCAGCCTTTAAAGCAAAACAACAGGTCGGTGATGTCCCACCTACAGCTCCCTACTACTAAGTGTGAGCTAGGCCGAGAGATTCGCGCTGGGCTGGGATTGAGGCTCAAGAACGAGACTGTGAGGTTGCAGGGCAAGAAAAGTTAGACATCAGAGTTGAAGGAGCAGACCCAACACACAAGGTACTTCCTCAAACCCCATTACGCAGATTACTCCAAACTCAGACGCTACCTGTTGCTGGGATCTGGTTCTCCTTCTGCTGACCTCTCTCTGCATACTGCAGAGGTGCCATGAAGTCCAGCTCACAGCATTCATGTACTCCCGCCATTCTCACAGTCACTCAACCCCGAGCCACGCCCTCTTCTCGAATTCATAAAACCCTGGATTTGGCCCTGGGTGTGGCCTTTGTTCCGACTGGACTTAGGACCCCTTAGGCTGCCTACAACTGCAGATATGTCTTTGTCTCTTTATTCTCGCCGTGGGTTGCACTGGAAGTGGTAGATTGGAATTTACTTGGGAGAAGTCCAACAACTTTTCCCTGGCATTACAATTTATAAACTCCTCCAGACCGTGATGAGGTCCAGACGGGCTTCCTATATTTGGTGCCCAATGTGCGCCTGAACTCACGACCTTCTTGTCTCAAAGACCACTACCCAGAGTCTGGTGTTGGCAATCCACTGGACCTTGTGGGACTGATTTACAGGTAAACGGAGCATTTTACCTAAATGTAGTACTCAGACGCTCCCTCCTGGCTCCCCATTCCTACAGGAGGAGCTTCACTACCCTGCCCACTCAGAAGAGTGCAGGCCTGGGGAGTGAAAGGCTCCTTTGTGAAAGAGTGTTTTCAAATTTAAATGGGCACTGATGGGCTAGAGATGGACCCACCAGTCTTTGGGGAATTCAAGGCTCTATAGGAAAATGAAGACTCAGAGGAGGGTCTGAGGCATGGTCAGAAGCATAGGAAGGATCTGAAAATAACAAACAGGCTGGAGTTGCTGCCTTCCACCTACATAGCTAACACCACTGCCCTTTTAAGACAAGAAAGACAGGCGGACTGATTGTTTCCTTCTTGTAGTACTCAAGGGTAATAACGGGGCAACCATCTTCCTTATCTGCAGAGGAGGGATAATTTAGTCAATTGATCATAACACTGTTAAAGGATGCAGCTATTCATGTTCCATCTAGAGAAGTTGCTATGTTACTCCATCAGAGAGCTAAATTTTATCCTTCCTTTGGGCTTGGGACAGAGTGGGTGACACCTTTTTTGTGTGTGTGTTTTTGAGACAGGGTCTCACTGTGCAGTTTAGGCTGGCCTCGAGCTCACTTTGTAGCCTAGGCTGGCCTTGAACTCCCAATGATCCTCCTGCCTCAGCCTCCTCAATGCTAGGATCACGGGCGTGCACTGCCTCCCCAGCTGGCTAACAGCTTTTACAAAGCTAAAAGACAGGACAAAAAAGTTCACCCTGAGACCACTGCTACTTGAAACCTGGTTAAATCAGTACTTTTATCTTTGCAACACATCTTCAAAGAAAGCAGACCAGCCACAGATATCCTTAACAAAAGAGTCAAACTGTCCTGATAAAACACCTTGGAGTACGGTAATTGAGGAAAACCTGAGGCCTGACACGTAACAAAGGAGGCAGGTTGCCACAGTGACCAGGCTCCGTGCCTCCCAATGGGCTGCAGCAGAAAAATGAAGCTTGTTTAAAAAGGTTCAGCAGATCAGCAGATTTTGCTTTTGCAAAATATTCTAAAGGAAACGCAGCAGCAGGTTTCCATGTTATCAGCACCTCTGCTTCGTCCTCCACACCCCATTTGGGCGATAACACCCCTGCACCCTATTCTCCATCTTCTACTCGCACCGAACCTCCACTCCCTCCCCCATACCAAAGAGCTCCTTCCCCTCCCACAAGGCAGCCCAAACACCTCGACGCGGTCAGATGTGCACAGCCAGTGTGCCTCCCGGTCACTGAAGAGACAGACCCAGAAAGCCTTAACCTCAAACGCAATACGCATGCTGCTTTTAATTTCTATTTAAAGAGTTGAGACAGAGTGTTCTGGACAATGGCATCCAAGGTCCTTACACAGCACACTGCTTAGATAATATAATACGAGGATTTCGTTTTTTTTTTTTTTTTTTTTGGTTTTTCTCCGGTACCAGGAACTGAACTCACGACCTTTCGCTTGCCAGGCAGGCGCTTTGCCGCTGAGCTAAATCCCCAGCCCCAATACGAGGATTTCAACTGGTGCCAGATGTAACCCATCTCGCTTGCATGTGGTGTTTATCATTGGCACAATACCTCCATTTTGATTCACAGTTAAGGGCACTAATACCAGAACAGCCACAGATTAATCAAGATAGTGTGGATGAAAATCTTAAAGCTATTATGTATGAAATGTTACCGGGCACGGCCAACGCTGACTTAAAAGTTTAAGCACGAGTACCGGTGCTTCCTCTCATGCAGTGTAACGAACTTCTGCGCCGTGCTTGGATTTCTGTTCCGGAAGATGGCACATCCAAGAAATCTTCTACCCAGATACTACAAGGGCCTGTAGAACCTTACACTCAGTTTGCGGCATGATTATGAGAGGCAGTGAACAGGCAAATTTCCCACAAGGTGGCTGATATTATCGTTTGCCAACTAGCGTATGAAAATGCCAACAATAAGGGTACATGAGTCTTAGCCTCTGTTTTTCATTCTAAAAATTTATCTGCTTACAGTCGTGCACACCAAAATATTGATCTACCACGCACGCATCTGTGCTCACGGCACAGGCTATATCTCGAAACCTTGCCACTAAATTCAGTACAAGGGCATACCGCTGGCACTGCCCAGTGCCTCCAAAGGGACCAGCTCCCTCGCTGAACAGGTTGCTGCTAGACCAGGCTCTGATTTACCGCCTAACCATGTCTGCACTGCATGAAAGGCTTCCACTGGGCAAAAGACTATAAATCTAAATATCATAAAGATGGCAGACTCTTGCTGGGAAATGGTCAGCGGCCCAAACCTCCAGGACCGAGCAAACAATGGAGGATTGGTCAGTCAGCACTGCAATGACTCAGACCCAGTGGAGCCAGTTACAGCCAGTCCAAACCAGACAAACAACTGTCCCTCTGTTGAGATGGGTACACGGCGAGACCTTGCATCCCTAGTAAGACGGACCAACCGAGTGCAGGATTAGATTTACCAGTGGCTTCTTGCATTCACTTCTTGGGGAGAGAAACACCAATTTTAATTCCCACTGGAGTCTATGGGCTGCTGCCAGAGGGAAGTGTGGGAATGGTAATTGGAAAAGCAAGCTTAATTTCTAAAAGCCTTACTGTATTTTCTGTCTTTTTGAGACAGGGTCTCACTATGCAGTTCAGGCTGGCCTTGAGCTCACTTTGTAGCCCAGGCTGGTCTCGAATTCGCAATGATCCTCCTGCCTCAGCCTCCCACATCTAGGATTACAGGTGTGTACACCAGGCCTGGCCTTACTGTAATTTTAATTATTTTTATTTTAATTTTTTTGGTACCAGGGATCAAACTCAGGACCTCGCACTTGCCAGGCAGGCGCTTACGCTGCTGAGCTATACCCCTGGGCCTAAAAGCCTTACTGTAATCCCAACCCTAACAGATGGGACTGTAATCAGGAGATACCTATAGCGCTATGTTCCACCAGCATTTGGGTGGTTGAACCTGGTGATGTGATTGCTCAGTTCTTGCTTTTTCCCAAAATTCAGTCAATTCCTACCCTTAACCCCTTGCATGAGCCTGGCAGAGACGAGCCTTTAGGCAAGGACATTTTTTCCCCCCAGGATGTTTCAGTTCGCAGACCTACTTGTACTATTAAGTTAAATGGGATGTGTTTTCCTGGAGCAATGGATACAGGCGCTGAAGTCACCATAGTAAATAGCCAACCGTGGCTGTCTGCTTGGCCTACACGGTCCAACTGCATTGCTTAAAGCCAATTGAGGGGTAGAGCATTTCCTAGCCGGCTCTGCATAGATCATCAGTACACTTGGAAGTAGGGCAAAGGGGGCAAATTGTCTTCTTTCAGGGAGAGCTGCCTGGGTGGCCCTCCACGTAACAGTACCAACAGGCTTCGCATGGGAGGGGTGACACTACTAGTTCAGTTATACTTATTCTTAGTATTCCGTGGGCTGGGATGAAACTCCAGGCCCCATACACGCTGAGCAAGGGGTCCACCACTAAGCTCCACCCAGTCCTGTCGTGTTAACCATTCTATAGCGCACAGTTCAGTGGTGCCAAGTACAGTTCCACGGCTGTGCGACACAGCTCTGGAGCCTTTTTATCGTGCATCACTGACCCTCTACACTCATTACACACTGATTCTCCTCCCAGCTCTTGGAAACCACCACCTCCTGCCTACTTTCTATGATTTTGACTACCTTTTTTTGTGGTACTAGGGATGGAAGCCAGGCATGCTCTACATTGAACTACATAACCAGCCCTTTTACTTCTTTTGAGACAGGATCTAGCTAAATTCTCCAAGCTGGCCTTGAATTTGTGATCCTCCTGCCTCAGCCTCCCAACTACTGAGATGACAGGTGTGCACCACTTAGCCTTTTGTGGAAAGACACATGAGTCAGGAGGCTTCATATATGTGTGACTTCCCTTTGAGGAGCAAGGCTAGTGAATAGGAAGCACTTCTGGTGTTTTGCTCTTTGGTGCTGGGGATTGAATGCTTGCTAAGCGTGTATTCACCACCGAGCCGCACCCCCAGCCCTGTGCTGTTTTGAATAACTCTAACAGAAACCCGGAGAAGTAGGGGCGTATGCCACCCATTTCACAGCTGAGGAACCTGTGGCTCACAGAAACGAGATAACTCGGGTAAGGACTCTCAGGAGATTCAACTCCAGGATGCTGAGCCATATATTTGTGCTTTTATCCAGGTGTGGCCTCTGAGCAGGATCCTTAACCTGGGATCCAAAGGTGGGCTCGAGGGCTACACAGCCCTACTCTGCAGGTAAAACTGCTCACAGGTGAGTGTGGAAGTGTTTCTCGGGAGAGGGTCTAGAACAGCCATCAGATTCTTCTAGTGGGTTTGATTCCCAAACGTTAGGAGATCTCTGCTCCAAGGCAGTAATACGTTGGCAATTTAGTGAGAACATGGCAACAAGCAAATCCCCCATAAGACATCTCAGAGGTCAGGGTTCTGTTAAAAAAAAAATGTTGAAGGCAGATTGGAGGTAACTGTTCAAATACCATGGCAAATGGTCCAAGGATATAGCTCAGTGGCACAGCACCTGTCTGGCAAGCACGAGGTCCTGAGTTCAAATCCCAGTACCAAAAACCGAAACAATCCAAACAACCTCAATTATCACGGTGATTCCAACAGCCATGATCACATTTGCTGGGTCAAATGCAGCAGACTCAGTGGCCGCCTGGAAAATGGAAGCGCTTTCAGCCCTTCTAATCACCAGCAAGGGGTGAGGCCTGCTCACCCACTACCTGGCCCTCCAGGTCTGATGACAGGCCAGCTATCCCACTGCTCAAGCCTCCCACTCCATCGCGAGGGTGCTGAAGAACTCGTGCTTGGGCTTACCAGAACTATTGCTTCCGTCTATCTGCTTGGTCAGTGGGAAGTTAGTAAAAGATCTATAAATGCTGGTTAGCGTTAATGAAAGCATGTTTGGGAGAAGTTTGGGCCATACTTCAGCACCATTCTAGAGGCGGGATCAAAGAAGGGCAGTGTCCTTATGACCAGGGAGCATGTGCATAAATACACAGCTGCAACATGTGCTCATTCTCAGCTGGCTGAGAGAGGAAGGAAGGGGCTCTGTCTGCTTAGGGGAGAGGAGGGGTTTGTAAGGAGGCAGACGCTGAGGGCAAGAAAAGGTTACCCTGCGACAAAGCCCAAGTAACAGTGTTATAGGTGTTCTGTCTGCAACCCGCCTTCTGATTTACCTTGTATCGGAAATCTGTCAATGAGCACCTGAGGAACCCTAATCAGGAATTCACGCTGCAGGATAGTTGGCATTTCACGTGCTTAATTACAAATCCAAACTGTAGAGACAGCCACTAAACACCCTTAGCTCTGTAAATCCACCATGGAGAATTTGCTAATCACACGAAATTTGTTCAAAATAATTTTTCCCTAGTGAGTAGTGATACTGCGTAGGGCCTAGTTAGAGAAATACAGGCACCTCTTTCATTACGGGAAGGAGTAATGGAAATCTGGACAGCCCAGCAGCCTAAAACTCTTCCGAGAGACACTCTGGGGATAATCTCGGGAAGGTTCTGAGACTCAGCCCTGAGCACAAGGTTTGTCACCTGATACAAACTCATTCAACAAAGTAAACCAAATCCAGTTGCTACAACATATTTGGCATATAGCTTCTTCTTTTTTTTTTTTTTTTTCTCTGGTACCGGGGACTGAACTCACAACCTTGTGCTTGCCAGGCAGGCACTTTGCCGCTGAGCTAAATCCCCAGCCTCTGGCATATAGCTTCTAATGAAACATTCATGCAAACTACTTGGGCCAGGCCAGGGCTTCACTGATCCTAGAAGATCAGGTGGTGTGACCGCTTTTGTGGCTTGTCCATCCGTGTTTGCACACACAGCAGAGTTTAGCGTAAGAGTTGGCATCACTGTAGTAGTTACAGCCCCTGGAAGGGACGCAACGCAGAGGAGGCCCATAACTTCCCACTCCCATCACTGCATGGGTAGTCAGATGGAAAACCTAGTTTAGAAGTGTTCCCAAGAAGCGTGGCCCTCCAGGCCTCTCTCCATAACCACTTTTTAAATTAAAAGAGAAAAAAAAAATTTTTTTTTTGAGGCAGGATCTTGCTATGTAGCCCAAGCTGGCCTTGAACTTATAATGTAGCACTGGTTGGCCTCAAACTCATGACGATCCTCCTGCCTCAGCTTCCCGAGTGCTGGGATTATAGACATTCACCATCTATAGTTCACAGTTATAGTTCTAACCACTTTCATAATCCAGGCTGGACATTGCTGCATTTTGTATTTCTGACAGCAACCAGTGAACTCTTGTAAAGGCATTTAGCGCTTTCTTGCCCACTTACTTCTATTTTTCCCCACCTACTTCCCTACAACCATTTCTACCACTTTAATCTGTCAGCTGCTTGTCCCACAAAATTCCATGATTTCATCCAAAATCCACACTTCATAACAATTTTTGGTATTAATTTCTGTCAAGAGGATTCATCTTCGCCTGGGATGTAGGAGGAGGGGAGATTTCTCCCTCCACCAAAAGAAGAGTTGCACTAAGGCCTAAGCAGCAAATCCACAAGCAGACACTTGCTCACGTCTGCCACCTGTGGGCCAGTCGGCAAAGAGTAGCACTGCCTTGGCTCAAGGCCTGGGGCTCACCTTTCATCCAACTCTGAAGTCCTTTGGCCGCTGCAGATTAGAATCACCTGGGAAGATCATGTTCCCTACCCAGAGCACATCTCAGACCAATGAAATTAAAATCTCTAGGGATGCACCCAGGTGTGCACCCAGGTATTACAATCCTCAGTGACCTTTTCAAAATATGCTTCCGAGGTGTTAACCTGCCACATCAGAAGGGCCCAGAAGTGGGGTCCACGTCTGTGTAGTCTGAATAACTCTTGGGCAATGACCTTACTCCTGCTTAAGAACTAATGGTCTAGTTCAGTGTGCTCCATACCAACCTGCTACACAAACAAATGCCCAGGTCCTGCCCAATTTACCTCCATGATGGTGGTATGGTTCAGAGATCTTTTTTTTTTTTTCAGTGCTGGGATTGAATTCTGGGCCTCAGAATTGCTGGACAAGTGCTCTACCACTGAGCTACACCCAGTGCCCATCCCCCGGGAAACTGTATATTCAGTCAGAAATAAAAGAAGAGTGGTTAGCCCAGGGTTACTGGGACAGCTGGACTGTGAAACTTGAACTATATCTTTTGCCCCCAAGCATAACCCTACGCTAATGAAGCTTAACTCAGCCAGAGGGACATTCTTCTTCTTTTTTTTTGTACTGTACTGGGAATTAAGACCAGGATCTTTTCTTTTTTCTTTTTGAGTCAAGGTCTCACTATGCAGTTCAAGCTGGTCTTGAACTTACTTTGTAGCCCAGGCTGGCCTTGAACTCGCAACAATCCTCCTGCCTCAGCCTCCTGAGTGCTGAGATTACAGGCATGTGCCACCATGCCCGGCTCCAGCCCAGGATCTTTGTGCTGAGTTATATATCTTTTGCATTCTTGAGACAGGGTCTTGCTAAATTGCTAAATTGCCTGGGCTTGGCTTGGACTTTTGATCTTCCTGCCTTAGCTTCCCCTGGAATTGGAGGTGCAGGCTCTTTTTTTGTTGTTCTCTGGGACTGAACCTCAGGGGATTATAGGCATGCACCACCACGTCTGGTTCATAGCCACTTTCATAATCCAGGCTGGACCGTGCTGCATTTTGTATTGCTGACGGCAACCAGTGAATTCATATAAAGGCATTTAGCCCTTTCTCGCCCACTTCTATTTTTCCCCACCTACTTCCCTACGACCATTTCTACCACTTTAATCTGTCAGCCGATTGTCCCGCATAATTCTATGATTTCATCCCAAATCCACACTTCGTAACAATTTTTGGTATTAATTTCTGTCAAGAGGATTCATCTTCGCCTGAGCTATATATCCTCAGCCATTTTTATTTTGAGGTTGGGTCTTGTTAAATTGTATGGTCTGGGATTGAACTTGGTATCCTCCAGCCTCAGCCTCTAAGGTGGCTGAGATTATAGGCCTGCACCACCATACCTGGCTTGGATGGGTATTCTTTATTTCAGTAAGCTATAAGCCTTAGAGAAGAAACAGAATAATTAAAGTAGGCCATGAGGTACCCCAAAGGAGACGTCGTAGTCTTCCAATGTGTAGGGTTTGTCTGCGAGGTCTTCAAAAAATTCTGCCAAGGAATCCAGGGTCTCCTCTGCTAGTCTTTCATACGCAGTCTCATCAAGAGTCCTGTGGTAGGGGGGAAACACAGCCATCAAACATACGATACTAAACCATGCCATTTCATGAGACTGCATATGAAAGTTCATGCATTCATTTTTTATTTAATTTTTACATTGACGGGCAATAACTATTATGCATAGACTAATAATTTGAACTGCACGAATTAAGGGAGACGTAAGCCTTTCTTTCAAACAGTCCCCAAGTCTGGAGGCAACTACATAGTCTTCTGCATCCTGCTAGACATTTTTATGTTTATTTATTTATTTATTTAATCTTTTTTTGAGACAGGGTCTCACTATGCAGTTCAATCTACCCTTAAGCTCACTTTGCAGGCCAGGCTGGCCTCGAACTTGCAGCAATCCTCCTGCCTCAGCCTCCCAAGTGCTGGGATTACAGATGTGCACCACCACGCCCAGCTTTATGTTCTTTTAAGTGTACAAAGGAAGCACCTTGCATTTGTCACTTCATATTTCTAAATGGTTCCATATTAGCATATGTATCTTTTCATGTATTAATTTTACACTTGATCTAAGAGCTTTTGCGCCCAGGAGAATATATCTGTAGGTCATGAGGTAGACACCAAATAGCTTCATTATGAGTTTCCGAGGGGCAAAGATAAAGCTCTGGGGTTGTCGGACAATGAGTCTAAGACGTGAATTCTTGCCATCAATCCCTCTTCCGCCCAGGCCATCCCCAAGGGCAAGGGCACAGACGGGCCAGCTCCTGAGGGGGGCTGGTTTGGCGGAGTGTGATGGGTGTTTTGAGGCCAAGTTGAAGAGAACCGAGTGGTTGGTTGCTGCGTCTTGAGGAATTTGGGAACACAAGAGAGACACCTGACCCAGGAGTCAAGTCCAGAGCCGAGAGTAAGGCAGGTGCGCTCTGCACAGTGACCCACAGCAGGACAGAGGTCACCGCAGAGGCCACAAGCGACTCCTAGGGCAGCGAGCTGGACTTGGGGCGTCCCACAGGGCTTTACTCACCGCCACAGTACCTGAGGGACGGGCTGCGGGGTACAGAGGCAGGGGCTGGAAGTGTTGGCCATCAAAGCACGCAGCACACGCACAGCCCACAGCCTGAACATGGGATGGGGGCTGGGGAGCTCCGCAGGCCCCAGGCCGTGAGCCCCGCCTCGCCCGTTGCCACCTGGTGTCTGTGATAACCTGCAGGGCCGAGTATGGCTAACAGCGTGCAGCTGAGGGTTGGAGCGTTCCTGCCTGGGGTGGGTGGCTCCCCGCTGCTTTCAGCAGGTGCGACAAGAAATGGTAAGTCAGTGGGGGGAATGGCTCATTTGCAAGGAGATGGAGTGAGACTGAGTGTTTCCGATCCATAGCTGCCTGCTGATGGAAAAGTCAGAGGAGATCTAACGCCTTGGACACAAAGGCCTTCCATTAAGTTAGAAAAGGGACCCGAGTTCTGCCAAACCAAATTGAGGGTAATGCTGGTTCCCAGCCTCACTGCTTTTCTTTTCTTTTTTTTTTTTGTCCTTTTGAGACAGGGTCTCCCTATGCAGTTCAGGCTAGCCTTGAGCTCATTTCATAGCGCAGGCTGGTCTTGAACTCACAGTGATCCTCCTGCCTCAGCCTCTCGAATGCTGGGATTACAGGCGTGTGCCACCATGCCTGGCTTCACTGCTTTTCTTTTTATGACCTCAGGGTACCTCCTTTATGTTCAGAGGTGGGCATGGGGGCAGGCCAAGAAATACAGTGACTAGCAGCTTCCACCCAGGGAAGGCTTGTGGATTCGGGCACTGACACCTGAGACTGGCTGGCAGTAAACAGATCAGAAGCCCACCAGGTTTTGAGGAAAATCCTATTATCAAATAAATAGGATAGCCAGGCGTGGTGGCGCACACCTGTAATCCCAGCACTCAGGAGGCTGAGGCAGGAGAATCATTGAGAGTTTGAGACCAGCCTAGGCTACAAAGTGAGCTCAAGGCCAGCCTGAACTGCATAGGGAGACACTGTCTCAAAAAGAGAAAAAAAAAAAAAAAAGATAGCCTACAAGAGCCTTAAATAGCCCAGATTGTTGCCTGCAAGAAGTGGGCTGGGAAGACTTCCCACTGCCTGCCTCCTGCACCCAGGAGGATGACAGACAAGGAAAAGCCGCCCAGAGGCTAAGCCAGGGCTCGGGAGGACAGGGCGAGATTGTTCCCAGGTCGCCCAGTGGGCTGCCATCACTGCCACGGGCCAGGGATGCCACTCTTCTCGGATAGGAGTTCTTAGAACAGTTATCCTGGCCCCTGTGTCAGTGCGTGTGTGGCCACCCCACACCTGAGAGAGAGGACTGCATGTTAGCGAGAAATCTTAGACTTTGAGGTGGCCTCAGAGACTGAACGGGCCTTTGCTTGGCTCTCTTGTTGCTGGCGGTGGGGGGGCGTCTTGGTAGGAAGGAGGCTCCTGGAGGCATCAGTCGGCAGAGGGCAGACCGCAGCAGTGCAGGACCGCCTCCCTGGCTTCCTGCCCCTTTCCTCCAGGACACTCGGAGATGACACTCCAGCCTTCCTGGCGCTGAGCTAGGGCCATGTGACTAAGTTCTCTCTGGAGTAGGGGCAGGCACTACTTCCAGCCCTTTCTGCTGGGTAGAATGTGGACAGGGTGACCTGATCTCCCAGTGTGGAAGGCGGACAGCCACTGACTGAGGAGCCTGAAGGGGAGAGAAAGGAGCCGACTGCCAGCGCCTTGCACAGAGGGCGCCGAGCCTGCCTGCATAACACACGCCGCACCCCGGGCACCACCTGCAGAGGGCGACACACACCATTACTGGTTTGAGCCCTTACACTCTTGGGTCTGTCTGCTGCGGCAACATGGCCTAGCTTGACCAGGATACTAAGGAAAATAACAACACTCTGGAACCAACCAAAAGGTCCAACAATCGGGGATGGGATAAACGAGTTATGGGACAGCCAGGTAACATCACTACTGCATTAAGGAGAATGTGACGGGTCCTTAGAGATGGGTGAAGATGCCGACAGGGTTGGTCTCACAGGGAAACAGGTTCCCTATGGGAGAGAGGGAGGGAAGCGAGACAGGAGGAGATCTCTGTGGGGTGAAAGGTGTTTTAATCTTACCCTGCGTTGCCCACAGTTCCTGAGTTCCTCAAATGCATCAAATGGACGCTCTGCTTTTTACCACTTAGAATCTGGTGGAGGTAGTAGAGGTTCAGACTCTAAAAGCCAAAGTTAAGAGCATTACATTACCAATTTTCAGTTAATTATGATTCAATAGTACATGGCTTATATATCACTACTTCTACACTAAAGAGTAACCATATTAGCTGGACACGGCGGCCCATGCCTATAATCAGAGCATGCTGGGAAGCTGAGGCAGGAGAGTCACAAGTTCAAATTGAGGCTGGGCAAGTTAGTAAGACCCTGTTGAAAAATAAAAAGTAAAAAAAGAGCTGGGGATATAGGTCTGTGCAAAGGCCCTAAGGTTCAATCCCTAGTATTATTAAAAAAATTATCATGGGATGCATGCGCACATGTGTGTGTGTACTGGGGATTAAACCTAGGGCTCTGCACACGTTAGCCAGTGTTACAGGTTTTCAGGAATCTTTTGTTTTTTTCCCCTGCAATACTAGTGATTAAATCCAGGGCCTTCACACTGAGCTACACCCCCAGCTCATTTTTTAAAAAAATTAATTCATTTTTAACTTTGAGACCAGTCTTGCTAAATTGCCCAGGCTGGGCTCATATTTTCAAGCCTCTTGCCTCATCCTCGGAAAGTGCTGGGATTACAGCACTAGGCCTGGCAAAGACTCTTTCCTGGAAATTCTTTTTCACCTTTCTGTGATACATTACAATGAGCTCCCCAATCTCTCTCTAAGCTTGTACTATCCAACAGGATAGCCACGAGTCACGTACAGCTAAATTTAAATTTCCTGAAATGAAGTAAGATTAAGTTAGTTCTTTAGAGGTGCTGGCCACATTTCAAGTGTCTGCGGCCACATGTAGCTAGTGGCACAGGGGACACTTACATCATGGCGGGGTCTGACTGGTCACCGCTTCCACAGGCTACTCAAGCAACTTGGGGTTCGAGGGAGGCAGGGGAGGATCCCAACACCTCTCAAATATGAGTAAGAAAAACGCGAAAAACAGTAAGAGGCACAAGTCTGCTGAAGTCCAGCTGAGGGGCTGGCACTGCCAAAGTCTGCCGGTAGCGTGAGACCTGGCAATTTTCTCCACCAACTGTGGTCACCCAAGGGACAGGTCTGTGCTGATCACCACCAGGCGTGCTGTGCAGAACCCACTGACCAGCTACGGGGTGCTGAGGTGCTCGTGTGCTGAGTGACAGGGAGAAAGTGCTGCGCCAAAGGCCAGGGTGTCTGTGATGGAGCGGGTGGCCCGGGCTTCATCCCAGCAGGTGCTGGAGGGTGTCAAGAGGCCCAGGGTTATGGTCTCCGAAGGTCTCTCTGGTTGCCACCGTGGAGCGGTCAGAGATCACTGCAGTTCTTCAGCTTGCACAGCCCGGGCGCTCCGAGGAGGAGGCAGAGGGTGAGGAAGGGATGAAGGTGTGGAGAGGCGGAGGGAGGCAGAGCGCAGTTCACAGAAGGCGGCTCTGAAGCAGAGGGAGGCGGTGCGACAGCCAGGGTCCACTCTCAGTCCATCTGCTTGGCACAGCCCCGACCTGTGCTCATGGAATGTGGACTTACTCAGCCTCACAGAAATCCTGAAAGGGCAGTGTCCCTACCACTGTCATTCAGGACAGCCAGGTCCTATACAGTTACCAGACACCCACTTAGTGGATCATTCCTAAGGGCACACAGGGTTAGACTCTGAAGACCTCCGGTCAAAACATTTTCACTAACAGAGTGACACAGAAGCTTGCTTTCTGTTTCAGGACACCTTATTTTATTTATTGCTGATTCCCTAATACTGAACTTGGGGTAATAGCACTGTAACGCATGGCTGAGCAGGGTATCTGCTGTGTGGATTTTCTCTGTAAAGTATGTATCAGGCTCCTTGTGCTTTCTTCAGCACTATGCTTGGGCCCATTTAATTAATTAACTAGGGAACTGAGCTACATCCCCAGCCCTTTTTAAATTTTTAATTTTAAGACAGGGTCTCCTTGGGCTTGAACTTCCAGTCCTCCTGCCTTGGCCTTCGAGGGTGCTGGAGTTGCATGCATGAGCCACCACACTCTGCTTTCTTTCCTTCTTTTCCTTCCTGTCTCCCTTTCTTTCTTCTTGTAGTGGAGACTGAACCCAGGGCGTCCTGCATTCTAGGCAAGCGCTCTACCGCTGGGCTGTATCTGCAGTAAGCAGTACTAGGTCGCACTGTGAGAGCTGAGACAGGCAGGGACAGCGGCAGGGGCTATGCCGTTTGACCGCTAATGGGCACCTGCTCCCGGGACTTTGAACGAGGCCAGGGCACGAGAGCCAGTGCGCCAGGCGCACTGTTTGGGGTAACAGACAAATCGGAGGTAGGCACCTCCACGAGTACAGAACCTGAGAATAACGAGGGACTGTGCGTGCGTGCGTGCGTGCGTGCGTGCATGCGTGCATGAGCTGTCCGGATGAGGAAGTGAAGCACCAAGGGACCTCCCCCGAAGTCACAAACAATGGGACAAAATACCGGGTGGGGACTGACTCCAAGCTCTGGCTCTACAATCTGTGCCACAAAGGAAGGAGGACATCGGAACAGGTCCAAAACACCAGGAGAAAGTGAGAATGTCAGGCTCCCCTCAAATCCTGTCTTAGTCTCTTTCATACCTTTCTATCACTTTAAAAAATTATTTTCTTTTTACATCTTACATAGCTTTGATGGATGTTTTTTAGCAGAAGACAGCCAGAAGTAGAAGTCTTTTTTTGTTTTGTTTTGTGTGTGCAGGTGCTGGGGGACAAACTCAGAGGATGGCACGTGAGCCAAATGCTCTACCACTGACTACACCTCAAGGTCCTTCATTAGACTTGATTTTTTTGTTCCTGTGTGTTGGAAATAAAACCCAGGGGCACTCTACTATTACAGGCAGCTCAATTAGGTAGAAGTTAATACACTGTTAGAGAGGGACTGGGCCCTACCACAGAAAATAAAGACATCAGAATTGTGTCAGGAGGTGAATCTGAAGAGGCGTCTTCAGGCTGGAGATGCCAGGCCTGCATGTCTCACTGGAGATAAACAGCAGCTTGAGATTATCCTGTAATAAGCACCACTTGGTCCGGCGGGCCCAGGCATCAAACTCTACGTGGGTGACCAGAACATCAGGATACACACTCCTTTCGACTTCTAAAAATACCTTTGTCCAGGTACCTGCCCTACATGCCTTGCTTTCCTATTGGATCAATAGTACCTAAACAGCTATACTTGTAATCCTATAGACTGACTGCGGTCTGACTCACCTTGTACGGACCTTGTGACTTAGCTGTATAAATTACCCCTGACAAAGAGCCTTGGGGGCAACCACTTGGAACCCCTCCCGGAAATCCAGGAGCTGTTCTTCTTCCTCTTATTTCCAGTAAAACTCTGATTTTCTCCTTTGGGTCATGACTTCATTCCTCGATGTTGTGGAATCATGAACTTAGCATATCTGACATCTAACAGGTCGGGAGTTATATATTTTTATGTATCACTATTACTGAGCTATATCTACAGCTTATCTAACTATCGATTATCTATCTATCTAATGTATCATCTATCATTCATGCATCCATGCATCCATCTATCTATCGCACCAGGAACTGAATCCAGGACCTTTGCACTGAGCTACATCCTCTGCATGAAGAAACAGTTATAGTATTTTGAGAGAGTGTCTTGCTAAGTTGCTCAGGCTGGCTTCAAACTGGCGATTCTCCTGCCTCAGTCTCCCAGAATTTGGAAAGCTTGGTCATTTTCCAAAAGCTGGACTCCAGCTACTCCGAAGCCCTAACACTTTCATCTGCTCAGACGATTTCGTTCATAAAACCCAGGCTCGAAAACATGGTGTGTGTGTGCAGCGTACACACACCCTACATACACATGTATACACATACGATATTCATGTGCACATTCCATTACATTAACACTGAGTAATTCTTCATATCACACAGTAACACTACTTAAACCCAAATGCTCACAAAGGAAAGTGACCTCGAGGCAGCCAGAGACCCCGAAACGTCCACCTCCTCCTCCCCAGGAAGCGGAAGTCGCGCCGCGAGGCCGGGGCCGGGACTGGAAGGCCGCCGGGCTCAGATGCACCAGCGTCTCCGTCTCCGCCTCCGGCTCGGTCTCCGGCGCATGCGCACGCGCGGCACCTCCCCCGCCGGCGTCGGCCGGACGCGGATACTCACGGCGTGGCGGGGCGCATAGGCCGCCGCGGTCCGGGCGCACAGGCCGGGTCCCCGGCAGGGCCGTGCGAGCGTCATCGGGCTCCGGACCTCCGCGCGCGCCTGGGCCGGGCTCGGCGACGCCTTCCTGGGCAGTAGGCCGGCGGCTGCGCGGCGCCCCAGCGTCCACATGCTGCTCTGGTCTGCTGTCGCTCCGCCCTCGCCACGGGGGACGCGGTGGCGACACCTGCTGGCCATGGGCCGCAGGCGCCCCGGCTGGGCTCCCTCTTTTCTGGGACACCGGAGACCTCCGGAGAACTTCCCAGCATTGCGCTGTCCGTGCCTCTAATAAAAACATAGAGCCGGATTTGCAAGCACGGAGCTCACCTGTTGGGCGGCACCATGGGTGTGTCTGCCGAGTGCCTGAGCTCGGGCACGCTTTGCCTGGGACTGGGAGCCGGCCGTGCAGAACTCTGCAGGCGCCGGCGGTGCAGGCCTCCTGCTGGGCCGCCCGAACGGGGTCACCTCCGTCAGTGTGTGCTGCCAGGGGCCCGACCCCCTGCTTTAAATCCGGATTGCGCCCACTTACTAGCAGTGTGACCAGTGGTAAAGTTCACCTCTCTCCCTCGTCTGAAGTTTCTACTTCCTAGGGCAGTTGTGGGAATAAAACGAGCCCATCCTTGAAAAATGTTTTCAATAGGGACTGGTCCCTGTTAAGAGCGTAATAAATCCTGAGTAGCGCGTAGTACGTTTTATTTTTTATTACTGTAGATTAATGACACAGAGGAATGGGTTTCACTCTGGCATTTTCATCCTTTTATTTAACCTACTTTGATCATATCTCCTCTTTCTGAGTCTGGCTGACATAGTTTACATGATGATTTCCAGTTTCATTCGTTTTCCTGCAAGCGACATGATTTTGCTCTTCTAGACTCCATTGTCTATAAACACATTTTCTTTATCCATTCATCCATTGATAGACGATTTCCATAGCTTAACTATTATGAATTGGACTGCAATAAACATGGGTAGGCAGATTTCTAATTACTATGCTGGCTTTAATTCCTTCTGCTAAGTACCAAGGAGCGGTAGAGCTGGATCACATGGTAGTTCTAGTTTTAGTTTCTTTGAGGAAAATCCATACTGATTTCCATATTCCATAGTGGCTGGACTAATTTACATCCTGACCAACACAGGATTTAAATTTTGTTAGTATTGTTTTTTGAGACGGTGTCTATGTCACCTAGGCTGTCTTCAAACTCTTCAACCTTCTGCCTCAGCTTCCTGAGTGTTGGAATTACAGGCATGAGCCACCACACCCAGCAGGCTGTGTCTGCATTTTGAAGTATTTCCCCTATGTTTTCTTCTAGCCGTTTTAAAGTTTCAGGTTTAACATTTACTTTTTTAATATGTCTTGAGTTGATTTTTGTATCGAATGAGACGGATCTGGTTTCCACTGATACATGGATAACAAGTTTTCTCTTGTTTAATAATTTTAAAAGAAAATTTTACTTATAGTTGCAAAGGGATACAAATAGCATTCACTTCACATTTTATGCATACTTTTTATGGAGAAGGAAGTGGGTGAGTGGGAAAGTGCTGAAGTCTGTTCTGTAGAACTCAACTCAGATGTCAAATGTCACCTTCAGAATCCTCCCATGAAACCCAACTTCCATGTCCCACTGCATGTCTCATGCACCTCCTTGTGTATTTCTACAGCCTGCAATAGAAGTGCTAGTTGTCTTATTTGTGTAACATCTCTGGCATGTAAGAGCCAGTGTACTGAAAAATCAGTGAGCAAATGAAAGAGTGGATAATGTTCTTCTTTGCTGGGCTTCGGCCTCTTCAATACTGATATCCTCGCCTTGTGGCTCACTGCCCAGGAATGGTATGGAATAAGTTGATACTGACTGATAAAAGTTTTCAGAGTAATTTCCCCTGGGAGAACTTTATTTGCATTTTACTCGGTGTCTCACACCTTTAAAGACCCAAATAATGGAATTTTGAAATCTTATGCCCAGACCCAACACTTCCCCCACCTTTGCCATCTCAGTGAGAAATAGCTTCAAGCATAAAGTGGTTCTGGCCAGAAACTTGGGTTTCTGTTTGTCAGGTGTCACTCTTTCTATTTACTTCCCCTCACTGCCCTCAATGACCGCACCAATGACTCCAGTTCTACTCCACATTATGTGCTGCTTGGCTGAGTTTCTCTGTGTCCACTCCTGTAGTCCAGTGTCATTCCTCTGACTGGGTAACTGGGCGCCTTCTCTTTCTCTACACAAATTTTTGCTAACTGTGATGTCTTGGCCTGACCTCCCGCACCAGACTCCGACAGACAGAACCAAACCATAATGGAAGCACCTGTGTTAGATGCCATGAATCAAACTAAACTTTATTTATTTTTTTCAAACTAAACTTTAATACAGGCCAGTTTCCCCCCAAAGAAGAGATTCATAGCAGCCAGTTGTAGGGTGCCCGGGCCACCTTAGCCTGCATGGTAAGGAAGATCTCTCTGCTTTAACCATACAAGGAAAGTAACTTGAAATGATGAATCTGCTTTTTATACCCTACTTAGCCCTTTTCTGCCGTAAAGCCAGTTCCCCCTCTCAGCTCACTTGGAGGGGAGCGCACTTCTGGCCCATATATGGGATGCTGTCTGGTCATAGATTGCTAAACAGAGCCAGTTAGACATTAAACTCAATTCCCTTTCAGAGTTTATTCACTCAACAAGCATTTACTGAGTGCCAACACCTAATTCTGGCAATGAAGCTTATAGTGATGAACAGAATAAACACAAATCCATGCTCTCATGGAAATTACACTCTCAGATCTCCTGTGGCCTGATGCTTTCGCTTAATTCTGTGTCACTCAGGGCCTGGAATAAGCTGGCTGAGTTTTGATTAGATGAGGGAATGAGGAATGATTTGGACTGACGATTGGTCTGGTTATCAGCTTAATTTCCCCTGGCTTTTGCATTTTCTCAAATTGCTTGGTGGCTGTCCCCCCATGCAGGATGTCAGCCCAACCCCGCACAATGTCTGGGGTTATCACTGCGGTTTTGCAGGCTGAGCACCAGCAAGACTGAGGTCAGATGACTGCTTCAGAAGCTTTCTGCCCAGGGTCTTGAGAGGGGTTGGGGATGAGGGCAGCACAGGTGGTGACATATCCATGGGGTCCGCCTGCCTAGCGATAGCATTTCTTCTGATTCCCGCAGAAAACCTTCCTATATCTCACTTGCTGTAGAATAAAACCATTCTTCCTGGGTCTACAGAAAGTCTATGTGCATAGGTGGGATTGGGACAAGTGCTAATACAGTCCGCATCTAGTTTTCAAATAGCACACGGAGGCCCCTAGAGTGTAAGAGATTGCCCGCAAGTTAAATGGAGGTAGAACCCAGGCCTCCTGATTTCCAGCCATGTGCTTCTCCTCCCTACAGTTTTAGATGACTTCTCCCTGGTTTTCGGAGCTCAGTCCCAAGGCAGGGCTCTGACTGGCTCTGCTGGGATCGTGCGCCCACCCTTTGGAGCAGGCACGGTTGCTAAGGGGATTGGGGTAACGAGGCCAGGGCCCTAGTCCATTTTGTGATGCTATAACATAATACTTGAGCCTAGGTAATTTATGAAGAACAGAAATTGGCTTCTTACATTTCTTGAGGCTGGAAGACTACGATCAAGGTGCTGTCAGATCTGCTGTCCCGTGAGGGTCTGGTGGCCTGGTCTCTGCTTCCAAGATGGCATCTTGAACACTGAACCCTCAGGAGGAGCAGGATGCTGATTTCCTGTGGTAGGAGGACAGACAAAGACAAACCCACTCCCACGGCCCTTGCAATAGGGAGGGCGGTGCCCTCGGACCTGAGTACCTCCCCAAAGGCCACCGCTTCCAACTTTGTTGTCACACTGGGGATTCAAGTTTCCACATGAAGTTGTGGAGGGGACAAAAGCATTCAAACCACAGATGCCAGCTCGGGGGATAGAGCACATTACCTGATGAAGGGGACAGGACAGCTTCCAGATGCCCTCGAATGAGAGCTGTTCCAGTCCCCCAGACATAACATAACCCCAGAAATTCTCACCTGTTCCTGCTCGGCTGTGGGCTTCAGTGACTCAGAGCCTGGAAGGTTAACTTCCTTCGAGGAGGGGACTTCAGCCCACTGCAAGTACTTGGAGTGATGAGAAGAGAGATTGCCTGGGATGCTCTTCCCTGACATTTGCTGAGGGCGAACTTGTATAATGAGGGCTGAGAAACACCAGCGAGTCCCAGGAGACTGATTACAGCACCAGGGCACGAATCCGAACTCTCCAGTCCAATCTGATACATTGCTTTGAGGTCAGTGTAGATTAAGCTCCTATGGTAGCCAGCAAGTTCCAGCAAAGTAATTCATCAATACTTCCAAAATGTTTTGGACAATAAACATGAAACATGTAAATCATTTAAATAAAGTGCTAATTATGGAAACTTGCAGTGGCTGGAAAGTATGAAGTTTGGGGTATGCTGAGAATGGCCCCCTTGGGGCCGCGGATGATAGTCTGATCCCTGTTCTGACCGAGTAAGAGAGCTTCAGGTAGGGAATGCAGCTCTACAAAATTCTTTCGGTCCCAGCACTCCGAGAGGCTCAGGCAGGAGGATCAGTAGCTTGAGTCCAGCATGGGCAATTTAGTGACTAAGTAAAAACTTTTCTGTAAATAAATACATAAAATCAGTGCAAAGACCCTAGGTTCAATCTCCATTATTGCAAAACAACCCCCCACCCACACTCTCGCGCGCACACACACACACACACACACACACAGCTCTTCATGGGGACTGTTTGGACAGAGGAAAGACACATGCAGTGTATCTGAAATGTCTTTTTTTCAGCACTGGGAATCCAACTCAGGGCCTCACACATGCTAGTACTGAGGTACCTCCTGGCCTTGAAATACCATCTTTAGAGAGACATTCTTCACGTTGATTAAGGAATTTCTACTTAAACACAATAGTCTTCAAGGAAATGACCTGGTGTAAGAGAAACACGTAGACTTTATGGGCTTGAACAGGTGTATTTGCAAAGCATAATTTTCAGCAAGTTAAAAACATAATCCTTCCACAAATATGTAGTACACTCATGTAAAGGGTTATTTGACTGGGGAAATGGACCCAACTGTGTTCCCCCAAGTTCACATGTTGAAGTCCTAATCCCCAGTACATTCACAATGTGTCTCTGTTTAGAGATAAGGCTTTAAAAAGTAAGGTTGCAAGAGATCGTAAGTGTGGGGTCTTCATCCAACAAATTGGTGCCCGTACACAAAGAAAAAGAGGTGGGAGGTATGGTTCAGTGGTAGGGCAGATACG